TTATTATTATCATCTTTTAACCATTATTGTTATCTCATTTTCAGTATTATCATTATTATCACTGTTATTATCATATACACATCAGACACGCAGCTAGGAATCGACGTTTCTTCCTTTTAATAAAAGCAGTCATCCATCAAGAAATAGCAAGGAGTCACCTGGTGTGCCGGTAGAAAGTACAAGCAGTCTTCTCAGATAGAATGGGCATGTCGTGTGTGTAATTTGGAGATGACCTCTTCAGATAGATCAGATCCACTGTATAATCAAATCAGAGCGAGTACCACGCGGTATCGATACAGGTTTAATTAAGCGATGACGTAAGACCAAAGATTGTACATAACAAGATAGTTCACTCGGCCAAAAAAGGGTACGCGGAAGTCCGCGTATTGGTACTGTTGTCGCTGCAGTCTTTGTTTTGAAGCTCTCTTTCGTTCTCCAGAAGAAGAATAGGAATAGCACCCCCTTGCACATCAGCTGTTCCGGTTGTGCGGAGTTTTGGCAAAGACCGTCAATACGGTTTCTGGTTTTGGGTTTGTTTTATTTTAATGACCTCTCACCTCTTGTTCTAAAGCCAACTTAAACGAAGAAAACAGTCGCCCCTTCCACCTGAAAATGATTTTTGTCAACGTAACCATTTACAAAGGCGTTATTCCTAAATTTTGAGTATATTTTTTACAAAAACTTGTTAGTTTCACTTTGATTTTTTTCCCCACACAAGTAGGGTAACTATGTTCGCAAAGCGGGCGCTTTTTCGAAGAGGGCAGCACCGGATTTTGGGGACACTTTTAAAAAAAATTGGTTCAAAGAGAGGAGTGAACCATCTTGTTATACAGAATCTTTGGTGAGACGTGAGCAAAGATTGTATACGGTGTTTGTCGTGAGAAGCACAAAAGAACGACCCCTTGCACCTCGGCACAGGCCGATTTATAAGACAGGCCACCTTTCTATTGGCAGATATTCGGAACAACATTTCTTCAACAGAGTTGATTGGAGATTTGGAGATGCCAAACAAACAAACACACACATAAATACACAAACAAACAAACGACAAGTAGATAAAAAAAAAACAACAAGCAGTAGCTGCAGAAACAATGATGGAACCTACCAAACAATGGCGACCACTTGCAAGCTGAATAATGTAGGCCTATCATAATATATACTACTCAAAAAAATAATAAATTAAGGACCATTTAAAGTCACACATAGTACATAAAACTGAAAACATGACACGGTTCAAAATTGTTTGAGAGGGGTCTTTGTTTATCATATATCACCTTTTGCAAACGACATTTTGCACATTTTAGAAAAATGGAAAATAGGTAATTTCAGGTGTTGAAAGAGGTAATCCATGTTTTTAAAATTCACATCACAACCGTCATAAACAATTAGGGCTCGAAATGGCGTGTGGCCGCCATTTGCAAGAAAATAGTCTTTGTCTCGTGGACTGAATAAGTGTTCACAATGTCAGTTGTGGAATGGCTTGCCATTCTTGGTCCAAAATGTTAACGAGTTCATCCGCATTGTTTGGGGGTGGCTGATGGTCTCTTACTCGGCGCCCAACCAAGAGCATATCCCACAAGTGTTCAAAGGGACTACGGTCCGGTGATCAGGCTAGCCAGTCAAGCCTGATCACGTGCTGATGCTGCTGCAGGAAGTCATCTACCACTCGAGCGCGGTGAGGTCTGGCGTTGTCGTCCTGGAGTATCGCGCCCTGGCCCATTGCCCGAAGAGCTGGAACTGCAGTGGTTCGGAGAATCTCGTCCATTTAGCGGATACCTGTCAGAATGCCTTGAATTAGAGGTGGGTAAAATCCGGATAATCTATAGGATAACCGGATGATTCTCAATGAAACATTATCCAAATTCAGGCTCTTAACTCTCTTTTCTCCTGATCCGTTTGCCGAAGTGGGTGCACCCATGTGTTGAAATGATGCTACCCGCTTGTCGAAGTGGTTCTAACCCATTTGCCGAAGCGGTTCATATCATATTATTTGCCGAAGAGGTGCACTAACATAGTATCCGGATTTTGCTAAAGCGACTCATTGCCCAGCCCTACCTTGAATGCGATGCAGGGGGGTCCAATCCCACCCCACACCATAATAGAGCCTCCTCCATACTGGTCATGCTCCTGTACACAGTCGTCGTGGAAGCGCTCACCAGGACGCCTCCAAACACGGATCCTGCCATCGTTGAAGGACAATGTGAACCTGGACTCATCCGTGAAGAGCACAGTAGACCACTGTGGGCGTGTCCACCTCAGGTGCAGGGGCGGACCAGGTTATGTGGGCAATCCGGTGGGCCTGTGTCAGTGGAACCCGGACTGCTGGTCTTCTGGAGCGTAGACCAATCTCACGCTGCCGGTTTCTAATGGTCTGGTCGCTGATTCCAACGTTGCCTGGGGGTATCACCTGCTGTTTGATGTAACGGGCAGTGCAGGTTCGAGTTTCCAGGGCTGTTCTGGCGATCGCCCGGTCCTCTTATCGTGTGGTGCAACGTGGCCGTCCGGACCGCCTTCGCTTACCTGCAGTTCCAGTTGCAGCAACCCGTTCTCTCAGTCTGATGATCACTGAGTGACGCACAGCAAGCTATCTTGCCACTTCACCGACAGCAATCCCTTCGTGGAGCCAGGCAAGGGCTCGTCCCCTGTCGATGTTGCTCAGACGTCTTCTTGGAGGCATTGTTAAAAATCGCTTAATGTGCCCGCAATAAATACCCCAAGCACCGTCAAACCCGCTCAGGCATTAGTGTAGGAAGCGTGAATTCCCCTGAGTTAGTTGTTAACCATACCACTCACTGAAAATCACGTGAGTGATTGTCAAAAACAGTTTCAATTTGACAGAAAATTGGCCACTTTTCACCCGGTCAAGGCAGCGTAAATTTTACGACATGCGTCAAAACTGTTCGTTATTGTAAACAACGATGACCCTTCCTTACAATGGCATCAACTGACTTACTTAACTTCTCAATATTTGTTTGTCACACAGTCTCAAACATACTACAGTGAAAACTGTAATGGTCCCCAACTTGTTTTGAGTAGTATGCTACGCTAAATGATATTATGTGTTGCTGGTATCATCTGAACCCAAAAGAAAGTTTCCTTTAAACATTAGTGAAGTAGACTTGCCCTTTCTTGCCATTCTCAAACTCAAAAGCAACTTTTTTTACGCTTTGACTTCGGAATGTTACTCTCACCCATAATGATAAAGTAGCATGAGATATAACCAGAAAATTTCCTGCGATATTTGTAATCGATTTGAAATGATTGACTAATCAGTGATTTCGAAAGTCTAAAGTTATACATTATAATACATACTTGTGCAGATCAGAATGTTGTCCGCGACAGCTAGTAGGCTATCAAATAATCAGGGTTTAATAAAGGGACACACGGCTGTGTTTGTTATCTGATCAAAGTGTTATCAAGAGAGGGGAAGTATCTAAGCCTTTGCTGGGCCAGTGTTTAGTGGACTCTTGTTGTAATCAGTTTAAATATGTATATATTAAAAGTCGTATCCCGTATCATGGTATTCTCGCTGTGACTTGATTCCCATGTGTGTGTAGGTGTGCGTATGTGTGTGTATGTATGTGTGTAGGTGTGCGTATGTGTGTGTATGTATGTATGTGTGTGTGTGTATATGTGTGTGTGTGTGTGTGTGTGTGTGCACGCGCGCGCACGTGTGTGTGTGTGTG